TCCCACTTGTTCATTTTTGCTGTTGTTTTCCTTGCCCGGGGAGATATGTTCAAGAAGAGGTCCCTTATGTTTATGTCTAAGAGGTTTTTGCCTATGTTTTTTTCCAAGAGTTTTATGGTTTCATGACTTACATTCAGGTCTTTGATCCATTTCGAATTTACTTTTGTGTATGGGATTAGGCAGTGATCCAGTTTCATTCTCTTACATGTAGCTGTCCAGTTTTGCCAGCACCAACTGTTGAAGAGACTGTCATTTCCCCATTGTATGTCCATGGCTCCTTGATCATATATTAATTGGCCATTAATGTTTGGGTTAATATCTGGAGTCTTTATTCTGTTCCACTGGTCTGTGGGTCTGTTCTTGTGCCAGTACCAAATTGTCTTGATTACTGTGGCTTTGTAGTAGAGCTTGTAGTTGGGGAGCGAGATCCCCCCCACTTTATTCTTCCTTCTCAGGGTCGCTTTGGCTATTTGGGGTCTTTGATGTTTCCATATGAATTTTTGAACTATTTGTTTCAGTTTGTTGAAGAATGCTGTTGGTAATTTGATAGGGATTGCATCGAATCTGTATATTGCTTTGGGCAGTATGGCCATTTTGACGATATTAATTCTTCCTAGCCAAGAGCATGGGATGAGTTTCCATTTGTTAGTGTCCTCTTTAATTTCTCTCAAGAGTGTCTTATAGTTTTCAGGGTATAGGTCTCTCACTTCCTTGGTTAGGTTTATTCCTAGGTATTTTATTCTTTTTGATGCAATTGTGAATGGAATTGTTTTCCTGATTTCTCTTTCTATTAGTTCATTGTTAGTCTATAGGAAAGCCACAAGTTTCACAACTTGTATTTAACTTTCTATTATTTGCCTGTTTTTTCCACTAAAATGTAAGCTGTATGAGAGAAGAGACTATGTGTATATCTTAAAAATTCTCATATGAAATACTTTTTGACACATACTGAATATTTAATAATTTTTTTGAATGAATGAATAAATAAGGAAATTGTGTAAAGGATGTTGAAGACAGAATGTCAAAAAAAAAACCTATCCAAATATTGGTATTTTCTTACACTGAAGTATCTGAAATGGGCTGAATTGCTAATGTTAGACTGTATAATTGAATGTATTAAATCAGATATTTGGATGACAAATTCTGTAACTTTTTTATTTTAGCCTTTTCTACCTCCTTCTCAAAGCAGAGCAGAATATGATTCAGAGGAGAGTCTGGAAAGTGATGATGATGATGATGATGATAATGACAATGATGTTTTAACCTCAGATTCTCACCTCCAGGAGCATTCTAATTCAAATTCATATAGGTATGGAATATTTAATTTTAAGTGTCTTTTAAAAAACTTACCATGTCTTAATATACAGAATATTTTTGAAAATAATACATGTAAAATTAATAGCTTGCTGGACTGTGGTACATTTCTTTAGTTGAAATTATTAAATTCCTTTCCTTAACAGTAAAAGGAATAAAAAAATTATTCCTTAGCAGTATGGACAATCTGTACTTCTTATCAGTCCTCATAAATCTTGATATCAAATTATTCCTTGCCCTTTGTTCCCTGAGATAAACAAACCATAGTGTCGTAAGCCAGAAAACTTAATGTCCTTTCAGTAGAACACTCATACTCTTAAGATGTCAATGATTACTATCTTAAAAAAGGCTTCCACAAATATTATAAAATAATAAATTTTCAAAACTCTCACCCTCACCTCCAATGCTGCATTATCCCTACCTGCATGAATAATGGTGTTATTTTATCTCTGTTGATATGCTGTTTATATCTAAAAGGCATATATATATTTTTTAAGACATTACATGTTAATGGTGTGACAGAAAAATATTTCTTTCTTCCAAAAGAAACAAGTATATTAGGGAAAATTAAATACTCTTTTTTTTTTTTAGCTTAGTACATGTATTTTTTTTTTTTAAGAGGGCATCTCTCATATTTATTGATCAAATGGTTGTTAACAACAATAAAATTCAGTATAGGGGGGTCAACGCTCAATGTACAATCATTAATCCATCTCAAGCCTAATTCTCGTCAGTCTCCAATCTTCTGAAGCATAACAAACAAGTTCTTACATGGTGAACGAATTCTTACATAGTGAATAAATTCTTACATGGTGAACAGTACAAGGGCATTCATCACAGAAACTTTCGGTTTTGATCATGCATTATGACCTATAAACAATCAGGTCAAATATGAATATTTGTTTGATTTTTGTACTTGATTTATATGTTGATCCCACATTTCTCCTATTATTATTATTATTTTTATTTTTAATAAAATGCTGAAGTGGTAGGTAGATGCAAGATAAAGGTAGAAAACATAGTTTAGTGCTGTAAGAAGGCAAATGTAGATGATCAGATGATCAGGTGTGTGCCTATGGACTAAGTATTAATCCAGGCTAGACAAGGGCAGCAAGACATCCACGGATGCAGAAGTAAATACTCTTTTATTGAAAGTAAAAAGTATGAGATTTTTACTTAGTGGTTTCTTTGCTTTTCTTCTGCTGACCTAATTTTGTTTTCTGAATATATAAAATATATGCATGGTTCAGAAGTCAACCTGTGTAACTTAACAACAACAAAACCCCCACAAATAACCCAAATAAAAAATAGGCAAATGACTCAAATAGACTTTTTTCCAAAGAAAATATTGCAAATGGCCAATAAACACATGAAAAGATGATTACTGTCACTAATCATCAGGGAAATGCAAATCAAAACCACAGTGAAAGATCACCTCACACCCTTAGGATGGTTACTATCAATATACCCCCAAATAACAGTGTTACGAAGGATGTGGAGATATTGGAACCCTTGAGCACTGTTTGTGGGAATGTAAATTGGTACAGCTATTATGGAAAACAGTATGGTAGTTCCTCAAAAATTAAAAATAAAGTTACAGTGTGACCCAGCAATTTCACTTCTGAGTATCTACCCTAAGGAATTGAAGACAGGGTCTTAACAGGTATTTGTACACCCATGTTCATAACAGGTTATTCATTATAGCCGAGGGGTAAAAGCAACAAAATGTGGTCTAATCATACAATGGAATACTATTCAACCTTGGAAAGGATGGAAATTCTGGCACATGCTACAACTCTGAACCTTGAGGACATTATGCTAAGTAAAATAAATGCTGTACAAGTCCACTTATATGAGATACCTAGAGTTGTCAAATTCGTAGAGACAGAAAGCAAAATGATGGTTTCCAGGGGCTAGGAGAAGGGAGAAATGGGGAATTACTGCTCACTAGGTAAAGAGTTTCAGTTTTACAAGATGAAAAAATTCTGGAAACAGATGCTGGTGATGGTCATATAACAATGTGAATATAGTTACTGCCACTGAACTGTATTCTTAAAAGTAGTTAAGGTGGTAAGCTTTATATTATCTGTACTTTGCCATAATTTAAAGTAATTAAACACTTGTACTCTAAAATATGTGTTTCACTTGAAATAAAAGGGAAGCTGAAACATTTTAACATAAAAACAAAATTGTGTGAGAATGTGAAATCAGAAGTCTCTCTTCCACCCAATTTCTCCTGTACTCTCTCTACAGATGCCCATTTTTACTAGTTTCAGGTTTTTTTGTTTATAAAAATAAGTGTGTGTGTGTGTGTATAAACACCTTATTTCCCCTGCTTTCTTACACAGAAGTTTAGCAGGTAGCATATATGTATAATATTCTGTAACTTGCTTTTTATTTATTAATGCATGCTGGAGTTCACTCTGTATTAGCACTTTGAGATCCTTTTTTTTTTTATGCCTATCCTAGTATACCATGGTTCAAAACCCTATTAAGTCAACTAGTACTCTCCTGATGGATAATTTGGTTGTTTCTACTCTTTTGCTATTGAAGATAATGCTGACCTGAGTTACTGCATAAGTATGTTTTTCTTTTCTGGAGGTATATCTTCAGGGTAGAGTCCTAGTAGAGGAATTGTTGGGTGGAAGAATGGTGTATCTTCTAAATTCCTAAGTAGATTTTTAACACATACACTGTTGCTTTTTTTTAGTTGGTCATTGATGCGCTTGGCAATGGTGCAGTTGGTTCTCAACAATTTGAAGACTTTCTATCCCTTCGTAGGTCATGATCTTGCAGGTAATAAATGCCTTAGTATGAACTAACATTGCCATTGCTTGTGATTTACTATTTTGTATTTTTTCCAAATAGTGGAGTAAAAGTTTATTGAATACTGTAGAAGAGAGGTTTCTGTTAACCAAATCAATCATCTGTAAATGCATCTGTTCAGTTGTTAGGTGCCCTTAGAAAGACAATATCCAAGAAAGCAAGGAATCTGAACTTGATGTGATTGACTGAACTGAGACTTTATTTATAACTCTAGCCAAAGTGTTGGGGGGTTAATATAAGTGGTAAATATTTAGAAAACTAAGCAAACACAAAAACTCCTATCAACTCCAAGGGAGGAAAAGATTATAGAGTAAAGAGATGGTCATGGTAGTATATACTAAGTGGTTCAGCTGTGATCTGTTTTTATATGTGTATATACCAAGGTAAACACTAAAATACCAATTTAACCAAAAATTATTATGTGGCTACATTGGAATCATGGAGAGAGGTTTATTCTTATAGTCCATGTAGTAAATCAGTAGATTATTTTGAAAATTGAAAAATGAAGAATTCATGGTATAAGCATGTTATTTAGATTTTTGGAGGTAAATAGCAGGAATAGCTAACAGTTAAAAGAGGGATCAAGACTCAGGAGTATGGAAGTCTAGAACTAGAAAGTGCTGAGTTTGTGGTATTATTTAACTTTTTTTTTGGTTACTTTTGTGTATTATATTAATTTTCCAACACATCTTAGTTGTATGCCATACAGAAATTGAGCTGGTAGAAAGATTTAAAACATTTAATTTCCCTCCGAGTATTTTCATAATATTCAGGTACATTTTTGTAGATGAAATTAAAGTCAAAAGCAGTAATTGAAATAGCAATAATTTATCATGACTCATAAATATTCTTCTAAATTCTAGTAGTAAAGCTGTAATGTAATTTCAACCTAGGTTGCCTTTTTTCTTTTAGGCCACCTAATTATGTAGAAATGCTGCACAGACTTATGACATCCATTTTCTAATTCTCTGTATTTCTATGCCCACCTCTCTTCTACATCTTCTCTGCCAAAATGTGTAATATCTTAGTTATTCTTACAACTGAATATAGCATTTTCCTGCTCAAGATAAATTTGGGTCAATTTTATTTTCTTTTTTTTAGAGCTTCCAGTTAGTTCACCACTTTGTCATGCAGTTCTAAAAACTCTTCAGTGTTGGGAACAAGTTCTTCTCCGACGACTTGAAATCCATGGTGGGCCACCTCAGAACTATATTGCAAGTCATACCTCTGAAGAAAGTTTGTCTGCAGGTCCTGCAATTCTCCGCCACAAAGCTTTGTTGGAACCTGCAAACACTCCTTTCAAGTAGGTTTTCCTGTGGGTGCAGTTTTAAAATATGAGTTTTATTAAATTTTATTAATCGGAATGTTGTCAGCTAGTATTTAAAGAAAAAATATTTAAGTCCTTCTATGTTTAATTTGTTATTGTAGGTTCCTATCTGAGTCTTTGTGTGATGTATACTATAGTCCAGAGGTTGGAAACATTTCCTGCAAAGCTCACTATAGTAAATATTTTAGGTTTTGTGGGCCCTGGAGTCCTTGTTGTAACTATTCAACCCTGTGGTGGTAGAGTAAAAGCAACCACAGACAATAACAAAACAAAGGGACATGACTATGATCCAGTAAACTTTATTTTAGAAAATGAAAGGCAGGCTGATTTTGGCCTGTAGGCCATAGTTTACTGCCCCACTCTGGAGCAATGCTAGTCCAAATAGCCAGTTAGCAAATTGTTTTGCTTTCTGTGAGGAGATAAAGCATTTGCACTGAAAGGTAAATCAGCAGTGCTTACTTTAGCAAGAAAGTCTTAATGCAAAAAATGTCAACAGAACTAAACAACGTACTTAAAGGCGTAGTCACGTAGTTAATGTACATTCTTTCACAAGATCGTACCTCTTTGCACATCAGGAACAGTTTATGGACTGGATGTGTTCCTATACAGCACAAGTAGTCCTGCTTCTAGACCTCTTCTAGGAAGCATAACTATTTTGCTAGATCTTATGTTCTTAGGTTAGGAACCAGTAAGTTGCAACCCATAGGGCCAAATCCATTCCTCTTCCTGCACTGTAAATAAAGTTTTATTGGGTCACAGCCACACCCTTTCATTTCAACATTTCCTGCGGCTGCTTTCCCACTTTGGTGGCAGAGTTGGGCAGTTAGTTGTATAAGAGACCATATGCCCCACAAAACTTAAAGTATTTACTATCTGGTCCTTTAAGAAAAAGTTTGCTGATTGCTGCCCTAGATGATATGTTCTGATTCTAGTTAATTTATTACTATAAATATTCATAAAGAACCAAGGAAATGTGGTCAAGCTAATCAGAAATCTCTAAAGTGCATAATTAAGTATACTGTCTGTAGATCCAGACACCATCTGGCACTGTCTGTGAAGAGACTTTGGCAGTACCTGGTGAAGCAGGAAGAAATTCAGGAGACCTTCATCAGAAATATATTCACAAAGAAAAGGTGTCTAAATGAGGTCTGTATAAGTTAAACCTTGTTTACTGTTTTACTATTGAAATTTTTTGTATTATGTAACCCTAAAGATAAGTTGCATTTTCCAGAATTTTAAAAAAACTATTTTTATATGATAAACATGTATTATGTAGTTAATGCATAGAAAAGTGATGGAAAAGGAGATGGAAGGTCAGTATTTTTCTAAGTAAATTTTAAGTAATTCAAATGTACTTGGAATTTTTATTTCCCAAAAAGACTGTTAAGATTCTGTATCTTGTTTCTTGTGTCTTCAGTTGTCATGATCACTAGTTTAAGAGAGAAAGTTGAAATTTCCCATAATTTTCATGATAGTTGAAAGAAGTTTATCTTAGAAGTTTGATTGAAACTAGGTTTGTATTCTGAAAAAATTTCAAATATAATGCTTCTTAATGAAATTTTTGCAAACTCAGTAATTACACTGTAACTGATTATATCATAATATTATCATTATAATAATTATTTTATCATTTAGTTCAGTGCTATTAAAAAGTTCCACTGTGATGATAGGGTAACTTTCACCTAAATATAAGTTAACATATTGCTACTGCTTTCAGACAGATTTGCTATTGAAAAATATTGGGTAAACTAAACAGTAGAATTATTGATGCAGTTAATTTCTTATGTCTTCATGTGCCAGTAACAAAGAGACCAGAAGCTCGTCAGTGGATCATATTTTGAGAAGCAAGCTTTGTACAGTTTTTGAAGTAGGAGGGAGAAAGGAAGATACTTCAGTTGGAGAAATAATAGAATGGCTTCATAATAGACCAGTTAGCAAAAAGCAAGATGGCATCTAACCTTATTTTAAAAAAGGAAAAGTACATATATATCATTGTCTCTCAGTTCAAGCACTAATTTATAAGAGGCAACTGAATAGACTGTTATTTAGTTTTTGCCTGATGATATAAATATATTATTTAATATTGGATTAGACAAACCAGGAAACAACATATATAATGTTCTTGCTAACTTAGAAGACCTTTGACATGTATTTCAGTATAACCTTGAAATCTAGGCAAATAGTAGATTATAATACAAATGAATGTATTTCTGTTTAACCTTACATAAAGTACATCTTAAATATTTAGTATATGAATTACTGTTAAAACAGTTCAAGTAAATTTTGTATAAATAAAATTGAAAATGAATGTGTTAGATAAGACTATTAGACTTCTTAGGGTATATTTACTGGTGAGGTAATGTTTCTTATTTTAAATATATCTTTGCCTAAAATAATTTATTAAAAGTTAAAGCATTCTCATCATAGTATATAAAGCACTGATGCATTGTTCTGTATAAAAAGCATATTTACTATGCTTGTTAATTCTTTGGTTTTTGTGATGTACCTTGTAATATGAATTTGCAAATTTGGTATCATTCAAGTACAAAGTCATTTTTTAAAAACATTACCATATTTGATTAGTTATAAAAATAAAAACATTTCTTTGCTGCTGATACAGTTAATGTATATGGAAAATGAAATAGTTCTGAAAACAAAACAAAAACACTATGGCGCCACTACATTGTCTAGTTAAATCAGGGAATAGAATCATTAAGGGACTAGAGTAGCATAACTAAGCCAGAATGCATAAAGGAAGGATGACAGATGAGTGAGTACAACTAAACCTTTTAAATTCCTCTTATTTTATCCTGAGTTTTCTCAGGAGTTTCATGATATTAAGTTGTTTTGTATTGTAATTATTTTAATAAAAAATGTGACTATGAATGTTAGACTAAAACTTTATAACTATCAGTAAACTAAATATTTTCCCTGAATTTTACTTTTTTTATCTGCAGAATGAATATAATATCCCTGACTTTGTAATGTTTTGACCAGTAGATTTATCTTATTTAAAACCTGACATGATTAATAGTAATTACTAGAAATTTACAATTATTTCCTGCTTTGTGGTTTTCTTTGTGATGGTGATATTCTTAAAGATAGTGACATTTTGAGAGTGGGAATATGAAAAGAAAAATGTTATGTAGTAAAACAGAGAAGATGGAATGAAATAGAATATTAATGTTAGAGCATTAGTGTAAAATTATTTAATCTTTACTGGAAAGTAGACTAGTCTGTTTTTGGCATTAACAAAATTACTTTCTGTCTCTTTTTAATAAAATGATGGTTATCCTTAAATAGCTGAATCCAAGACACTAACTTTTTAGGTGGCTAGTAGACAGATATGTGATAGGCCTTAAACTTTGGATGGTAGTTCAAGGAGAGTATTTTGAGAGTGCTGTTTCTTTATCCCTTTATGTGTTTGAAAGTGAATTTTTTTGTCTAATGTTAGAATCCTTGTGTTTCCTCAGATCTTTTCTTTTCCTATATAATGTAGTTTATTGGTACATGCCTATTTAAAATAGAAGGTCTTCCCTGTTTATACTTATTTGGAAATTAAGTACAGATAGCTGCAAATAATACCTAAGTCATTCCCAAGAAAAAATGCTTGGTAGTTGTATTTTTTTTATCCCCAGTTCCTTTTTCTGTTTCCTTTTGTTGTTTCAGAGCTACAGGTATGAACCGACTTTTTCGTTAACAAGTACTAATTTCCCCTTTTAAGAAGGATATGTGCCTTTGAGGAGTTTATTGACTCTCTATGGCTAAATCAAGAGGAGAGAATTAGAAACTTAGAAATCAAGATTTTCTAACCAAGAGGTTTTCATGAGGAGTGAGATACAATAGAGACAGATGCAGTAGTGTGTAAGAGAACAATTTGACTTTAATTTTCTTTGATAGTATTGTGGCACCAGTAGCTCTGAAATTTGTAATGCAAAGTACTTTGCATTAATATCAGCATTTCAAAATAAGTGAGTAAATATTTCTTAGGTGGTAGAATAAAATATATTAGCATTGGTTAAGAGTTTTGAAGGATTAAGTTTTCCTGAACCTCTAACCATGCAACCCCACACATACTATTTTAATAAATATGAAATTAAAAAAATTAATCAGTCCAGTGTTGTTTTCTAGTAAATTGGGTTAAAAATATAATTTAAAAATATATCCCCAGTATTTTGCATGTTACATCTCGTCTTTACTCTTTGTCATGTGGTTATTCTTTCTTGATGAAGTCATTAGAGGACAACTGTGAAACCATCAAAAATTCTATGATGGAGGAACCAAACATCAATAAGGTACAAAGCATCATTCAACTGAAATTAGAAATTGCATTCTTTATCAAGAAAAATAAAGTGTTTACATTTTAGCTTTGGATTGGACTTTTTTTCCAATGCAATTGAATTACTATTCCTTCAAATTATTCTTCTTTTATTTTAACAAATTAAATATTGCTATCATAAAAATTTTTTCTTTAATAAGAAAAAATTTTTTTATTAATAAGAGAATGTAATTTTAAAGAGAGTTGAATGTATCCAGTTTTGGCTACAGATTTTTCTGAGAAAATACAACTGAAGTTCTTATAATTTAATTAAAATAGCCATTTAGAAGTATAGCCCTTTTGTTCTGTCATTTTTGAAGTTCAGATTCTCTCCTGTGATGTTAATTCCTTCATCAAATGGTCTTATATAGTATTTGTTTTGCTAGTAGGAACAGCATATAGCACATTGCCTTGTTCAAAGTAAGTGCTCATAATACTTAAGATTAAGAGCACAAAGTTTCAGAATTTGCACAATCATGAATAAACTCTCAAATGTCCTGTGGTCACACATTCAAATATGACTTTTATTAGGTTGTTATTTAACTTACGTGTTTCATATTCTGATTTTAAGACACTCTCAACAGAGTAATTTAAAAAATATATATTTTTGAATGATTTAAGACTACTGATTCCTACCTCTTATTCTTTCCCAACAGAATCTTTTGGTAAAATAGGAGAAATGATTCTACTCAATTATTAAAAACACTGACTTGCTGTCAAGTATGTAACTAAAACTTTGGCAAAATAAATATATACAGTCCACACTTTGGAAATTTCAGATGGAGTTTTGAGACAGTATCCTTCAGACTTTTAATAAGTTAACAGTATTCTTTGTTGGGGTAATCATTAGTTACTACAGTCTATTCATCATCATTAATTCTTATCCAAAGACTTTTTTTGACACTGCTTATAAAATGTTAATGAGCAGAATGTTGTATTTCTATAGTTATCACACTATATCAAAAGGCAGTCATCCTGTTTGGTTAACATCATAACCATTTTTGGTCAGAATGTTCCAAGCTATCTGTTTCATGTTATACAGCTTTATTAGGTGCACCTGACTTAAAATAATTGCATATATTTATTAAAGTGTATAGTTTACTTTTTATTAAAGTATCATTGATATGCAATCTTACATTAGTTTCAAATGTACAACACAGTGGTTCAACAGTTACCCATATTATTAAACCCTTACTCCCTCTTGTGTGGTTACTATCTATCAATGTAGAAAGATGTTACAGAATCGTTGAATATATTCTCCATGCTGTACTACTGTTCCCATGACTAACTTATATTGTGATTGCAAACTATTGTGCCCCTTAATCACCCTCACACTCCAACTGCCACCAATGTCAACCCCCTCCCCATTGGTAACCATTAGTCACTTCTTAGTGTCTATGAGTCTACAGCTGTTTTCTTCCTTCTGTTTTGCTTGGTTTTTATATTCCACAGATAAGTGAAATCATGGTATTTATCTTTCTCCACATGGCTTATTTCACTGAACATAATACCCTCCAGATCCATCCATGTTGCAAATGACAGGACTTCTTTTCTTTTCATGGCTGAATAATATTCCATTATGTGTATGTACCACATCTTCTTTATCCATTCATCTATTGATGGACGCTTACATTGCTTCCATATCTTGGCTATTGCACATAATGCTTCACTAAACAAAGGGGTGCATATATCTCTTCAAATCAGGGATTTTGTTTTCTTCACGTAAATTCCTAGGAGTGGAATTACTGGGTCAAATGGTATTTCTATTTTTACTTTTTTGAGGAACCTTCATACTGTTTTCCAGAGCAGTTGCACCATTAACATTCCCACCAACAGTGTAGGAGGGTTCCCAGTTTTCCACATCTTCCCCAGTATTTGTTATTTCTTGTCTTTTCCATAGTGTCCACTCTAATTGGTATTAGGTGATATCTCATTGTGTTTTTGATTTGCATTTCCCTGATGATTAGTGATGTGGAGCATCTTTTCATGTGCCTGTTGGCCATTTGTATTTCTTCTTTGTAGAAATGTGTGTTCAGGTCCTCCACCCATTTCTTAATTGGGTTATTTGTTCTTTGGGTGTTGAGGTGTATGAGTTCTTTATGTATTTTGGATATTAACCCTTTATCAGATGAGTCATTTATGAATATATTCTCCAATACTGTATGTTGCCTTTTTTATAGTGTTGGTGGTGTCTTTTACTGTACAGAAGCTTTTTAGTTTGATATAGTCCCATTTGTCCATTTTTTATTTTGTTTCCCTTGCCGAAGAGATGTGTCCAGGAAAAAAATTGCTGATACTTATGTTCAAGAGATTTCACTTGTGTTTTCTTCTAAGACTTTTATGGTTTCATGACTTACATTCAGGTCTTTGATACAGTTTTGAGTTTAAAATTATGTATGGGGTTAGACAGTAATCTAGCTTCATTCTCATACATGTAGCTAGCTGTTCAGTTTTCCCAGTGCTAGTTGTTGAGGAGGCTACCTTTCCCCAATGTATATTCATGGTTCCTTTTTGTATATTAATTGACCATGTATGTGTGGATTTATATCTGGTCTCTCTATTCTGTTCCAGATCTATGCATCTGTTCTTGTGTCAGTACCATACTATTTTGATTACTTGTAGCTTTGTAGTATAGCTTAAAGTGAGGAAGCATTTGTTTGTTTATTGATTATCAGTAATTTATTGACTTTTTTGATTATCAATTCAATTTCATTACTGTAATTGATCTGTTCAGATTTTCTATTTTTTTTGGGTCAGTCTTAGAAGGTTGTATTTTTCTAGGAAGTGGTTCATTTCTTCTAGGTTGTCCAGTTTATTGGCATATAGTTTTTCATTGTATTCTCTAATAATTCTTCGTATTTCTGTGGTATCTGCTGTCATTATTCCTTCTTCATTTCTGATTTTGTTTATGTGTGTACTCTTTTTTCTTGATAAGTCTGGCTAGGGGTTTATCTATTTTATTTTCTCAAAGAACCAGCCCCTGGTTTCATTGATATTTTTCTATTGTTTTATTCTTCTCTATTTTATTTATTTCTGCTCCGATCTTTATTATGCCCCTCCTACTAACTTTGGGCTTCATTTGTTCTTGTTCTAGTTTCTTTAAATGTGTGTTTAGACTGTTTATTTGGGATTGTTCTTGTTTCTTGAGGTAAGCCTGTATTTCTATGCATTTCCCTCTTAGAACTGCCTTTGTAGTGTCCTAAAGATTTGGGGCTGTTAAATTTTTGTTTTCATTTGTTGCTATGGATTGTTTGATTTGTTTTAATTTGTTCATTGATCCATTGATTATTTAGAGGCATGTTGTTTAACCTCCATGTGTTTGTAGGCTTTTATATTTCCTTTGTGTAATTTATTTCTAGTTTCATACCACTGTGGTCTAAGAAGCTGCTTGGTACAATTTCAATGTATTGAAATTTATTGAGGCTCTTTTTGTGGCCTAGTATGTGATCTATTCTGGAAAACATTCCATGGAAAACACTTGAGAAAAATGTGTATCCTGCTGCTTTTGGGTGGAATGTTATGTAGATCTGTTAAGTCCATCTGATCTAATGTATTGTTCTGTGCCCCTGTTTCCTTATTTATTTTCTGCCTAGTTGATCTGTCCTTTGGAGTGAGTGGTGTGTTGGAGTTTCCTAAAATGAATGTGTTCAATCTACTTCCGCCTTTAATTCTGTTAATATTTGTTTTCCATATTTAGTTGTTCCCATAGATATTTATATTGGTTATATCCTCTTGTTGGACTGATCCCTTTCATTTTGTAATGTTCTTCTTTGTCTCTTGCTGCTTTCTTTGTTTTGAAATCTATTTTGTCTGATATAAGTATGGCTACTCCTGCTTTTTTCTCATTATTTGCATGAAATACCTTTTTCCATCCCTTCACTTTTGGTCTATGTATGTCTGACATAAGTCTCTTGAGTCTGAATATAAGTCTCTTGTAGGCAGCATATAGATGGGTCTTGTTTTTTATCTATTCTGCTACTCTGTACCTTTGATTTGTGCATTCAGTCCATTTACATTTAAAGTAATTATTGATAGCTATGTACTTATTGCCATTTTATTAATTGTGCCCTGGTTGTTTTCATAGCTCCTCTCTGTTCGTTTCTTCTTTCCTCATACTCTTCTTTCATTATATGATGGTTTTCTTTAGTGTTACAATTAGATTTCTCTTCTTTAATTTTTTTGTTTGTCTATTCTAGAGTTTTGTGGTTACCGAAGGTTTAAAGATAGCTTTCTTACTATATAACAGTCTATATTAAGTTGCCTATTACTCTGAGACACAATCTAAAAGTACTTTTTTCCTTCTTTGTCCTCCACACTTTATGTATTAGATGCCATAATCTGCACTTTTTCTGTATCCCTTGACTGATTTTATATATAGTTAATATTGCTTCTTTTTTGTTTTAATCTCATTGCATGGTAATGAATTGGTCTACTACCTTTACTGTGGGTTTATTTTCACAGGTGACAGCTACTTACTTAGCCTTAGGAATATTTCAGTCTATAGCGGTCTCTTTAACATATTCTATAAGGCTGGCTTAGTTGTGGTGAATTCCTTCAACTTTTGTTTATCTGAAAATTTTTTGATCCCTGGTTCAAATTTAAATGATAATCTTGTCAGGCAGAGGATACCTGGTTGAAGGTCCTTCTGTTTCAATACATTAAATATTTCATGCCACTTCCTCCTGACCTGTAGTTTTTCTGCTGCGAAGTCTGCTGATAGCCTGATGGGGTTTTCCTTATAAGTAATCTTTTTTCTCTCTCTGGCTGCTTTCAATACTCTCTCCTTATTCTTAGTGCTTGTCATTTTAATTATTGTATGTCTTGGTGTTGCCTTCCTGGGGTTCCTTTTGTTATGGGCTTTTGTGCTTTCATGACCTGAGTATCTATTTCCTTCCCCAGATTAGGAAAGTTTTCAGCAATTATTTCCTCAAAGAGACTTTCTATCCCTTTGTCTCTCTTCTCCTTCTGGTACCACTA